TTTTCGCCCGAAATACCCAATCCTTGCAACACATCGGCCAACACTTTGGCGTTAATTCCGCAATTGTTGGCCACATTGTTCTGACATCTCTTGTGGACATTTATATCACATTCTGTGGTCGGGTTAGAGACAAACAATTAGATCCAGAATGGGATGCAATTAGTGAGAAGTGAGGCCACATTACCGGCGCATTTGAGGCCTTGTCTGAAGATTCCGTACAACATTGAGCCGCAATGATTACAATAGGTGGGCGTCCGGAAGCTGTGGACCACAAACCTGTGCGGAACGTTGATATTGAACCGTCCGGCCAACAGCGAGCTATCGTTGTCCTCTTTACAACCGGGACATTTGGTCACCACTGACTCGTGACACCTCTTGTGTACGACACACGTGCACACTATCGCACATACAAAGCAAAGTGTGTGTTAGCGTTAGGGGTGGGCGTAAGTGGTGCGGGAGGAGGGCGTGGGCGCGTACATACCCTGACACTGGTAGCCTTGTTTGCCTAAACCCCATATAAATTGCGAACAATGCGAACAAAAGGTCGGTTGACGTAGAATAGTGGCCATAAACTTGTGGCCATTCACTTGATGCACACGCCGTCGAAGAGCGCCCCGACGCCGGTTAAAGCCCTGGCGCTCCTTAAACTCTCGCGGTTCGGAGGAGAGCGCGGATCCCGTGCTCATCGTCTTCGAGTCCTGGTGTAACCATTCACTTGATGCACACGCCGTCGAAGAGCGCCCCGACGCCGGTTAAAGCCCTGGCGCTCCTTAAACTCTCGCGGTTCGGAGGAGAGCGCGGATCCCGTGCTCATCGTCTTCGAGTCCTGGTGTAGGCTCTGGAGCTCAACCGTCACGTGTATGCGTCCGCCGGGCTCTAAGTCCACCTGAGAGTAAACACACGGACATAAGTACTGCAGTATAATCATCGGCGGTGTTGAGGGGATTGGGAGGCAGTTTGCAAAGTATTATAATATAAAGAGTTTGTGTGTTTAGCAACTAATTTGAAAGCACTATTCATTTTTCAGGCGAAATTTCAATTATTGTTTATGTAATAAAATACTGATTACAGGATAAAGTGGTTAAAAGGCTATAAAAAGCTAAGTATTGCTTTCAAAATGATAAGTGATTACAAAACAGCAATACAACTGTTTTTGTTGGGTTATATAAACAATGATATCTTGTTTTCAATGTTAATAACTTGTGACATAAAGTGTATAAACATTTGGTTAATATGTAATTATCATTGTGTGGTCTGCAGAGGAAGGGGTTTCTGTGTTTGGATTCTGTTTGAGTGACTGGTATTGGCTTTCATTTTCATTACCCAAATATCCGAAGTGTTGGCGCCGTTGACGGCCTCATCAGTGAGAAGATCGTCGAAAGCGATGGAACAGTTGGCCACGAAGTCGTCGGGAGGAATGGACGCGTCGTGAAAGACTGTGAGCAACAGATTGTGGCCGTTCTGGACGTCACACGTGAACACTTCATTCCACAGCGGTTTGAATGTCCGCTGTTTAGTGGACGACCGGTCGATGGGTGTGTCGTCTATAGCGATGTTCACGTAGGGGTCGATCAGCATCTGTTGTCCTTTGCCGACCACCGCTTCCAGTTTGTGACGGACCGAGAACTGAGTCGGCTTCAGCTCCTGGGCCTCAATCACGCAGAGCCGCAGTTTGCCCGTGAATGGCATGATTGGCCGCTACGAGTGGTCAGCGCCTACCGGTCGGTCACTTCCCGCACCTTTCGGGACGATTCTCACACCGAAAACACTGTTGCGCTTAAATGGCGGCGAGTATTGGCCACAAGTGTGTCAGATATATCAATAGCAATAGTAGTGATGGCGAATCCGGCGGCCAATCGGTGGTCAATGCACACAAATTTGACCACTTGTTTACTGTCAACTGACAGACACTTCTATCGACTCAATCTATGGATCAATTGGATTGCGAAACAGCATTCATAGGGTGTATATAGTTATCATTTCTCCAACACATCCATTGAGTCCGAGCGGTGAGTCTCAAGAAGCGGTCGAAGACATCACTCGATGAGAGGATAATTTTCGTGTCCACGAAGAAGAAGACAGTCGTCGGACGCGAAGACTGTCTTCTCTGTTTGGCGCAAACGGTGGGCGTCTGTGAGAGTGAGTGCGGGTGTGATGTGTGTCCGCGGCTGAGGTGGCGATCACTTCCGGGCGGTGTCTGTCCTGTGTATCGGTCGGTGTGTTTGTGTCCGTCGGTGACAATCGGTGTCCCAATCGGTTGTGTCTTATGTTGTGTTCATATAATGTCTGAACGAGTGTTGCATTTGTCGGCCATTACTGCCATTGCTGTCAAAAAACTTTGCTGGAGATTGTATGCGATGAATGTGTTCGCAGACAACGTTACGCGTGACTCGTGTGTGGGGGACAACTGTGCGACGGGTATGAGTGGGTTGTTATGATAGTCCGATATAATAGGGGCTAAAGTATTGGGGTTTAATGTGACGGTATATTTGTGTGGGAAAAATCGCAATGTATTGATTTGAATGCAATTTTCCCCAACGAGTCGCTCACAAATGCTGTTAAAAATTTAATTCAAATTAATTGCATTGAATAATAAATGAATATTTTATGTTTTGAATTGACATTTAAAATGTATTAAACAATTATATATTTTATTTTATATGCAGTTATTATCAATAAATATGTGTCTATACGTAGGATATTGTGCAAAAAGCGTACAGTTATAGCATATTCTAAGCGATATATAAAATACCTGTTAAGCTAATTGTCAACTCATGTATTATAATGATAATAAATAGGTTTATCGGGGGATCGATATCTTGATGCAATTAATTATGTGTACTGTTATATGCGAAGGGATCGCCGCATTAAATGCCACACTCGTTGGTCTCGTATTGACTGCATTACTGGAGTCGCTGTACCGAACATAAGGTGTAGCGCAACGCAAACAGGCCTACAATGCGTTACAAAGTGACTAATATTTAGGTCAATAACATAACGTATGACATGAATATACTGTGTTTTGTGTTCAGTTTTCGGTCACACAATACACTGTTTTTGTACGCTTTGGACGGCTCTGTGAGTAACCGAAAGGTATATAAACATTGAATACAGTGTTTGTGTGAAAGTAATGGCAGTGAGAATACAATGCATTCAAAGAGAGTGATAGAGATGTGAGAGAAAAGTGATATTCATTTCAGACATTCATTTCGATGAGAGAAATACAGACAAAACTTATTGTTATTATTATTTGTTTTAATTATTTATTTATTATAAATTGATTTTTTAATATTTATGTCACTTTATGTGTGGTTTTGTTTTGTCTAATCATTTGTCTCACACTTTCATATGCGGTGTTCATTAAGTGTTGACTCGCATTGAAATCAGTGTTTAGTTTGTTTGTTGTGTATATTTTTAATGACACTTTTGTTTGTCGTTTGACTTTCGCGACCAAAATGTAAGTTTTGTTTTCACTTTTCAGTTATTTTGAGCCAAAATTTTTACATTTATTTTACAATTATTGACAATAAATACATTGATTTTTAATCATACAGTTATTATACACACAAAAACTTTATGTTTAGTCTATTATTAGCTCACAGTATATATAATACAGTGTTTTGAAAGGCATGTGAATATCACATGAATTTGTTATTTGATTAACTCATAAAATATACAAAAATGTCTCATATTTAGTGTAACTGTTATATAAATAAGCGATCGATTTATCGCATTAATACTTAACACGTTATGACATTTGCATGTTATATGTGTGTCAAACATCGTGATAATAATGTCTGTATTCGCCTACCAGTGCTCTTAAACTAATTGTTTTAACTATAATCGTGGTTAACTAATAGTTAATATTATCTAATCAATACCATAATGCAATTCAACACAACTGACAGGTATGTGAGTATAGCATAACATTGTTACGTAACAGCCGGTAGTGCCGCACAGGGGGTAGTGTTGGACGTGTATGGGGACAGTTGGGTGTGTGTGGTGTACGGGAAGTGTGGTATTCGGTTGAGGGGAGGGGTGAAAGTGGACAGACATTTATGGCTTGAGTGAAATTAACGATTTTCCTCAATCACCCACTCATTGTTTAGCAGTTAATTAATAGCTCTGTTGTAATAGTGTTTTGCATACAAACCCTTATATGTGTTATAAATTTAGTATTCATTTATAGTCGACGCCTACTATTTAATACTCTAATCAAGTGTTTAATAATAATAATATTAATAATAAAATAAATTCAATTAAAAATTTGTTGTTTTTATTGTTTTGTCGGTTTGCTTAATACACCCGACAAATACCGCATACCTGTGCCGTACAATGCATTTTGACAGCACAGGTAAATGCCATAGCATTGCATAGCGTGTATACAGAGGGGGGCACCAAATGTATGCGTTTAATAATAATACAGGGTGTGAGTCATGTGGTGTAGTATTGCATGAATGTAATGAATGTATTGATCGCATTGCACCGCATGACTCATCCATAGGATAGGGGCATTCCCATTGGGGCAGAGCTACCTGTGCCCAGTGCTCTGTCTGTTTGTGTATGGGCTCAGGTATGTTAGGTATTTGCTGTGCACACGCTATGCTTATGTCTTTACACCTGTTTTACACACCACCTGTCCATTCAATTGATCACATGATTATTATTAGTACAGGTTTTTCTAATCAGATAGTTTTTTGATAGCACTGTATATACTGTCAGTCCATCAGTTATTTGATTGAAGCAAAATGTTTTGAACCCAGCATTAAATGTTTGGCAGTTATTTGTATTGAACGCTAACTGAATGCGAAATTAGTTTACTTATAATTAGTGTAGCGATGAATGTATGGGTCGATGCCTTAATTGATTAGCGCATTTGGCTGTGTTTACGGCACAGGTATATATAAAGCACAGGTATGTACTGTTAAACTCGCGGTTAAGATAGCATTTTTACGACGATTGGATTGAATAGAAACGACTTGAGTGCTCAAAATAATTTGACAGAAAAAACTAATTGCATTTCGCAATCGTTTAGTTTTGTCGACGACTGTATATTTTGTTTTGTATTTTTCCAATATATCTGTCATTAACTTTCTCTCTGTCTATAAATACCTACACATTAACACCGATAGGGACTTATCGTTAGCGCTGTATATATGGTATTGTTATGTAAGTGTTGTGTGAAATGACATTAATGTAAATTCAATACATAATACCGACGACCCTCTCATTCACTGCTCCACTCGTTAGCATTGAATTGAAGTGTTATTGAGTTTTGTTGACATAACTATATTTATAACATGTTAATGATGTCTAATGCGATGATAATAACCCGTCCATCACTGTTGAATAGGGCCCAAGAGACAGATGTTAACGGTTCCGGCGCTACGACACCGCCGCCCACAGGACCCGAACCCACAGCTTTCATCATATCGTTTGACGACATCGCAGACAATCACTCGAAGAGTATGAAGAAAATGAATATAACGGACAGTATCCGCAAGTTTGCGCCCCCGAAGCCCGACTCCATTGAGAAGCCCCGACCCGTCCGCTCGCCCACCGATAATAATCACAATAATAACGGCAATAAAAGTGATATGAAAGAGATTTACGGCCGCAGAAGACAGTTGCCGACAGACCGACCGAATGCCAAACATGTGGTCAACAGAGTGTTGGACGCGGGCGGCGATCGCGGCGGCCATTTGTCCGATTCGGCCACTTATCTCATCAATCGTATGCTGTCGTACGCGTCCAATAAGGGGCCGCCGAAGGGAGTGGTTGTGAGTCGCGATGGGAGGCGCGGCAGCGGTGGTAGTGGTGTACCCGTGAAAGTGGCGGACAATTCGTGGCCGAAAGCCGGCGAAAAGGATAGCGGCGTTTGCGACGACA